AAAGCATGTGGAATATCCTGTCTTTCATAAAAAAAAAACAACAATAGCCTCGACTTTGCTCAGAATGATAGATAACATTATTACATCCGAACGCTTCAAATGATATCTTATGAAGTGTTAACATTTCACGTCACATGTTCAATTCCCTAAGCACATCCGCTCTCTTTCTCCCCACTAGCCCCCTTCCCCGCCATTCACAAACGCAAAGGGCGAGCGCGGCGTCGAAATTCATGAAGACCGTTCATACGAAGCAGTGTTGTGACATGCGTACGGGCGATGAAGCTAGTGATTGGCAGTCTGACGGCCGGGGGGGGGGGGCGAGCGTATGTTCAAAGTGAAACGCGCTTCAATTCTACCCAAATCAAGCGTGTAAAGGATTTAATGCTGAAAACAATGGTCCCATCACAACGTCTCTCCGTGATGGCCTCCATTGCATGCAGCGGAGGGGTGTTCGTTTCCATTTGGAAGTTCCGAACCTCGATTCGAGACACCTCGCACCACACAGGCCCGTCTGCAGCACGGGGCTTCTACAAAAGAGGCGCGCGCGGGGTTCGCTTCCATCGGGCCGTCACGGGCGGTCGATGCGCGATTGGCAAGTTTCGCACACGCCGCGTTTGATTCGTTCCTTTGCAATGCGCTCGCAAGCGGCTAGCAACGATACACGAGTGCAATGACAACGAGAGCCTAGCTACATGCACAACAAGACAAAACATATTACATACTAAATAGTAGTGGTAGATAATATCCAATCACTTAACAAGTCCAGTCTCAGTAATAACTAATATCATCTCCATTCGCGTTCTTGCCTGCCAATGGCATTTGGAGGTAGAATCAAGATGTGTTGCAGATAGTTTCGAATAGTCCTGAAATTGATTTTATTCATTATTGTATCTTGCATGTGGCAAACAAAATATATCCGTATATTATAAATGCTTCATTCTTCACCAAATTACATAATTAGGGACCAAATTCACAAAAACTAATAATCTATTAGATACGCATATCTTTATTCAGTAAAAAGCTACTAAAATATGCAGACAAATATAACCTATATTAGATATGATATATATGAGGGTAATTATATTAACCCTCATAACGCTGTTTCTCATAACTTTTAATCACAAGTTATTCATGCGGCTCATTACTCTTTCTATTCCGCCCAATGGAATTTCAAAGAGTACACTTATTTTATAGTATTAGTTACAGGGACAGTCTGCCTCTAAGTACATTAACCACCAACAACCACGACGACTTCGGGTTGTCCTTAGCAGCTGCCTTCCTCCCTGGAAATAGAGCTCATTTCCTTCTCGCATTGCCCCCCCCCCCCCAATTGCAATGGAAGCCCCCGCTGTCGCACGTGGGAATCAAAATGGTGCATGTTCGTTCAGCAGCGTTTCGAATTTCAAAATTGCCTCGACAGAAAGCAGATTCGAGACATCCTTGATTTTTCAATTAATTATTGAGCAAAATCGATCTTGATGTTATTTCCAATTATTTGCGATAGAAATGTATTAATAGAAATGATTAAACATAGAAAGAAATTACAAAATTATTTTCCTTACTTTACAACAGTTGCGAGGCAATGATCCGATATGAGAATCAGAACTGTTCTGACCACCTTATTCTAGGTCTACCCACTTCTATAGCCCCTAGCTCTGTTTAAGAGACTTAATTTGGCAGCATATCTGGCCCCATCCTGTTTAGAAGCTGGAACCATTTCTGTTGGTGTTTTTAATGTTATTTAACACACCCGCCACGCATCGCCACACCACCCTCTGCTACGTTTCGCCACGTCACATCACGCCCCTCCC